AGTTCTATCCATGTAGTGCAAATAGCAAGATTTCATTCTTTTTGATTGCCGAGTAATACTCCATTGTATATATGTACCACATTTTCTTTATCCATTCATCCATTGTTGGACATTTGGGCTCTTTCCATACTTTGGCTGTTGTTGATAGTGCTGTAATAAACATGGGGGTGCATGTGTCCCTTCGAAACAGCACACCTGTATCCTTTGGATAAATACTAGTAGTACAATTGCTGGGTCGTAGGCTAGTTCTATTTTTAGTTTTTTGAGGAACCTCCATACTGTTTTCCAGAGTGGCTACACCAGCTTACATTCCCATGAGTTAATTTTTTTTTTTAATGTTTGTTTATTTTTGAGAGAGAGAGGCAGAGAGAGGGAGACAGAGGATCCAAAGCAGGCTGTGCGCTGTCAGTGCAGAGTCTGATGCGGGGCTTGATCTCACAAACTGTGAGACTGTGACCTGAGCTGAAGTCGGATGCTTAACTGATTGAGCCACCCAGGCACCCCTGGGTTGTTTTTTGGGTTTTGAGTTTGATAAGTTTTTTACACATTTTGGATACTAAATCTTTATTGGATATATTGTTTGCAGGTATCTTCTACCATTCTGTAGGTTGCTTTTTAGTTTTGTTGACTGTTTCCTTTGCTGTGCAGAAGCTTTTTATCTTTTTTTTTTTTTTTTCCTCCAGAGAGAAAGAGAAAGTGTGTGCACATACATGTGTGAGCGGGGTGGGGTGGGGCGGAGGGAATCTTAAGCAGTCTCCATGTTCAGCATGAAGCCCTACTTGGGGCTCAGTCCTAAGACCCCAGGATCATGACCTGAGCTGAAATCAAGAATCATATGCTCAACCAACTGAGTCACTCAGATGCCCAGAAGCGTTTTATCTTGATCAAGTCCCAATAGTTCATGTTTGCTTTGGTTTCCCTTGCCTTCGGTGATATATCTAAAAAGAAGTTGCTCAAACCGAGGTCAAAGAGGTTGCTCCCTGTGTTCTCCTCTAGGATTTTGATGGTTTCCTGTCTCACATTTGGGTCTTTCATCCATTTTTGCACTTATTTTTGTCTATGGTGTAAGAGAGTGGCCCAGTTTCATTCTTCTATGTGTTGCCATCCAGTTTTCCCAACTTGGTGAATCTTTTAATGACCTTGTTTCTTTTCCACAAGCCAGCTTATCAATATTGTGCTTCAGAGCCTCACCTGGAATCAGTCACTGCTCTTAACCTCAGAACCCTAACCCTTTCCCCTTTAGAGAAGCAGAATTATGTTTCCTGCCTCTGGCCTCCCCACTCCTTTGCTTTGCTCCATCGTTCCTCTGTCATAGCACTTGCCCTTTGTGTCAATGGTCAGTTGCCTGTGTAATTATTAGTTGCATGGAGCCAGTAGCACTTTCAGGGCATGGCTCCTGGGAGGTCTCAGCAGATACTTGATAGAAGGATGAATGAGCAAATGAATGGAGACAGGAAACCGATGTCTCACCTACAAGTGGTCCATGAACTTGCATTTTTATACAGTTCTGTGTGCTTATAGGCTTTATACCCTCAGCCTCACTGACCCCTGACCTATGACTCTTTGGTTCAGAGTACTTCTTATCAGCAAGTTTGAATGTTCTGTTTGCATCCTGGATCTTTGCCTGACCTTTTCCCCAGATCTTGCCACTACATTGGCCTTGCAGAGGCTCCCAGAGATCTGCAAGGCTGGGGGAGCAGGGTTGCCCTTGTCCAGTGCAATAGGGGGTGGAGTGGCCTCTTTCCTCATTTTCCTGGAAGCACCTCAAGGCCTTGTCCTTCCTGAGTGCCATTGTGAGGTAGATCTGGGCAAGCAAGGGTAGGTCATCCCTTGCCCAGAAATGTGGCAATTGCCTTACCCTGTGGCACAATTGCAGCCAGCTTGTACCAAGACCTCATAGTTTTTGAAGCAGCTTTCACCAAGTATCTCAGTTTCTCCTTTCTTTCTTTAAGTGTTAGGATTAATGTTCCCTCCTTTTTTCAGATGGGCTCAGAAAGATGGGGTAAATGATCAGGGTCACACTGCAAATAACTGATGGAGCCTCGACCTCCTTCCAGGGTCTGTAGGCCTTCTCCCTGAACTGGAGTGTAGCAGCAGCAGCAGCCTGACCACACTGAGATCCACAAAGGCAGCTCCTGTGCAGACCTGGAGGGTGGACATGAGGTCTTCTCATGGGTGCAGAGGGGCTTACAGATTCCATTCTGCCAGCTCTGTGACTGCCACTCTGCATGTGGGCCTGAGAAGTGGCCTCAGGCAGGTAGATCATGGAATTTATGAGCTTCCCTCCCTAAGGAGCATAATAACCTGGCAAAGAATGTAAACAGTTTCTCTGCACCTTGGTTTTTTAATCTGTAAACTAGTGTTAGAGATGGTATACACCTTCCAAGGTTGTTCTGAGGATTAAATGGTTCCTTGTAGGGCAGTGAGCCCAGGGCCCAGCTCAGTGGAAGCGTGTGGTATACACTGGTTGGCTGTCAGGATTCTGACGCCAGGTTTACTAGGAGACCTATTATCAAACCCTCACCTGTTCTTCTGTCTTGCTGGGTTTCGGTTTCTCTTCTGGGTAGGAGTTAGGGGAGCAGACTGGGACCTCTAAGGAGTGGTTTAGAAACTTCTCAGTCCAAAAGCTCAGGAGCTTCTAGAAGACATAAGAAATTTTCTAAAAATGGGAGGGCTGTGAGTCCTTGGAAGAGTCTCCTTTGGCCGTGAGTCATTTCTCACTCTAAAGAACATGAGTGTTCTGGTGGATATTCTGAGGTTCCTGCCCTGCTCGTTTATTTGAGATCCCACTTCCCTCCATTCTCACTTCCAGCTCAAGGCTGAGGTACCTGGGAACAGCCCCTTCTCTTTGCAGAAGGGTTCAGAGGGTACACAGGTCATTTGTCAACTTGAAACCTCTGGAGACTCTGGATGGGTGTGGGATGGAGATCGGCAGCTGCCACCCTCCCTGTCTCCACCTAGAGCTGTCTCTGTCAGCTGTCTCTGTCAACTTAGGATGTTGGAGTGTTAGACTAGGAATGAGTCCAGGCCAAACACTTCAGCTAGCTTTATGACTGTTGGGAAATCTTTCAACCTCTGAGGCTTACTTTCCTCATTTGTAAAATGGGGATAAGAAAGCCTGCTCCCCAGAGCTGTTATGCAGATCAGATGAGATGATGGATGGAAAAGGGCTTGGCATACACAGTAAGTCTCCATAAATACATGTTGGATCAAAAGAAGGATCAGACTTGAAGAGGCCTTAGGGTAGATCATTTGAGTTTAGTCCTTCCTAGTGGGCTTTCCCTGAGAGGGTGGAAGAACTGTGAGTGAATATTCAAGTATTTGACTTTACTTCCAGTCAGACTCAGCAAATAGAAGGCCAAGGTCTAAACCTACCAGGCCCTAGCACATGCTTGGCTTCCATCATAGGGAGATGTGGTGACCAGCCCCTCCCCAGCCATCGTGATGGACCCTCTGTGGTTGCACAGAGGGGTAGGAGACCAAGTAGCCTGATTTCTGTTCTTTCCCTTCGCAGGTATAGCCTTCACAGACCTCCCGGTAAGTACTATTATTGGGTCTTCTCCCTCTGGGCTCTTTGGGGCTAACTGGGTTGGAGTATGGTGGAACCTGCAAGTACAGGGTGTGGAGTCTGGCTCTTTCCCCAAACAGGGATGTATGCTATGCTCTCAGCTTGAGAGTACCAGTAGGGGTACCTCTTGGCCTTCCTCTCTCTCCAGCAGCAAGGCCTGGTCTTCCTCCATGACTTTTAGCAGGTGACAGTGATTTGTGGCATTTCTAAAGGCAGCTGGGGGGTGGCATGGGTGGAGATGAGGGTGGCTCCATGGTTTAGCTAGTCTAGGCCGGTTCTGTGTGGCTTACAGCCAGTGGACTGGGGTGTATAGAGAATTGTTCTTGAACTGTCTTGGAGCCCAGTCCCAGTGCCTACTCATCAGAGATCCCTGAGGAAGGCCACTACCCTGGGGGACTAGGCCTGCTACTGTACAAGGTTCCCCCAAACCAGAGAGGTGAGCTTTGTCAGGTTTTCTTTTCTTAGAAAAGGGTGAGGTTTCTTGTTGGCTGAGTTCAGGACTCATCCCCATCTCTTGCACCCTAGTCCTTCATTATTATGAGTCATCACAGGCCTCGTCACATGCAAGGCCTCCACCCAGACTTCTGGGAGTCTGGACTGGCTCTGTGTACCCTGGTTGGGTTCTGGAAGGAGGAGAGGTTTGCTGACTCCAGTGGTAGCCTTGGGATCCTGAGCACCCCTGTGATGCCCTAGCAATGCCCTTGTATCTGCGAGGCCTTCTGAAGCCCAGACTACAGCTCCCAAGATCCTGTTAGAAACTCTTATCTGTAGATCAGAATCCTTCTCTCCTTACCTGGAAGCACCAGAGAGGGGCTGTGGTCTCAGGCAAAGAGAACAGACGGAGAATTCTGACCTTGGCTAGGGAATGGTCTAGTTTTAGAGCTATGAATGTGGGCAGTCATCAGGTGCTAGAAAGTGTATGGCTGCTTCAAGGTAGGGGCGTCACTGAGGGCATTGATAGGTAAGATTTGCTGGAGAGGGTGGGCTTTGCCTATGGCATGGAGGTTGGGAGGGGAAAGGAAGGAAGCTAGAGATCTTAGGATTCAAGGTTGTGGTGGGCTGAACCCAGTGTTCAGTAAAGTAAAGCACGTGATACTGAGGAATGACAGACAAATGGCCAGAGGATGGAAGGTGGGAGAGAGGACTGGGGCCCAGTGACAATGAGGAGGAGGCTGGCGAGACACTTGACTAGCAATGGGGAGCCACAGGAAGCACTGAGTGAGGGAGTGATCTGGCAAAAACTGGCCATGGCAGCATATAATGGAAAACAGGGAGCCCCACACCCACAGAGGGACATGACCAAACCTCACTGGCCAGAAGATCCTCCTCTTAGTGAGCCTTTGACAGGAAGGGCAGTGGCCTCTCTTTACCCTTTGCCAGCATCTGGGGGTCCAAACCACCTACCCCCTTTTGCCATGCTCTCCTCCTCCCCGCCTTCCTTTCCTGTCTCCCGCATCCCTTCCTGCCCTGTCATATACTCCTTTTTTTTGTGGCAAAGGGATCCGTGGTCTTAGATCATTCTGAAAGGAGCCATTATCCGCCCATGTAGCAGATCTTCATGGGTACACCTGCAGGGTTGTGGAGCCTGGCCTTCCTCCCATGTGTCCTGGATGAGCCCCAAAGGGGGACCTTGGGCTTTGGGGACACCATAACCTCTGATGCAGGGCAGGAGACTCCACTTCGAGCCTGGCTTGATTTTCTTTTGCTTTCTCTCCTGAAGCTTTGGGGAATAGCGTCTCTGGTAGGCAGGTGGGCAGAATGTGGCTTAGCCCTGCCTCCTCCAGCCTTACTGCAATTCTCTCAAAGCCGGAGTAGTGGCCTGCAGGACCCAGCGCCTTCCCTCTCTGCACCAGAGGTAAGGCGAGGTCCTGCTGCCCCTTTGCACTCAGGGCCCAACTGACATTTCATTCTCCTCCTCAGGCCAACCTCTACCCCACCGTAGGCCTGCAGACACCTGGGGAGATTGTGGACGCCAACTTTGGGCAGCAGCCCTTCCTGTTTGACATTGAGGACTACATGCGGGAGTGGCGTGCCAAGGTCCAAGGCACTGTCCATTGCTTCCCCATCAGTGCCCGGCTTGGAGAGTGGCAGGCAGTGCTGCAGAAGTGAGTGCCCCACTCCCACCCTTACCCAGCCCTGGCCCATCCCAGGGGCCTCATTCTCCTCCTATAGGCCCCTGTACTGCTTCAAACTACACCTATGAACTCTAGTGGGTAGCTGTTCCTTCTGGAAAGCACTCCCAGGGTGACTCTGCCTGCTGCTCTCTTGCTTCCCTCTTAGTGAATGGACAGCTTCTGCTCAGTTCTCCAGATCTGTTCCTAACTAAACCTTTGCCCCCTCAACTGGATTGGAAGGCTTTGCCATATAGTATCACCAGCAGAGCTGTTTTCCTTCCCCACATTATTTTGCAGAGGATGCAGAGGATGTACTAGGATGCCCTGTGGTCTCTTCATTTGTGGACTTTTTTCCACCATAGGGAATATCCATCATGCTGTGACTGTTGCCTGAGATCACCTCTCAGGGTCATCATCTAGCTAAGTTCCACACATTCCTGGCAGTGGTGGTGGGAAGAGAATCATCCTGAGGCCAGCCTATCTGGCTCTTGGATGATTAATTGCTAAACTGTCCTGGAAACCAGTCTTGCTGCATCCCAAGGGAGGCGAGGTTTGGGTCTCCTTCTGCTTGCCAGCTGCAGGCCTGAGTGAGGCAGTAACCAGTACCTTCTCTTCCAGGAGGTGGGTTAGCTTATTAGCTTGGCTCCCAAGGGTGATCAGGGAAGATCTGGGCTTCCGCTAGCCCTGGTTATTGTCCCACAGAGGCACCCAGGTAGCAGAGTCTCTCAGGTGGGGCTGGGTTGCACACTGGGCTCTTTGTGCAGTCTTCCTTTCTTAAAGGATTAATGTTGAGGCAGGTTATAGGGGAGGACTGAGGCAGGGGCTATGTGGCCAGACCCTTCTCAGGAGGAGCAGCACTGTCTTGTTTTCAGCCCTCAGAACTATTGAGAAGCCCTTCCTTGGAGGACTAGCCAGTATATGCCAGTCCCTGACACAGGCTTGCTGGGACAGGCAAGGGGAGAGGTGGAGCTGCTCCAGCTATTTGGGGGAGGGAATGATAGTCTCAGCTTACAGTGTGTTTATATGTGTGTATATGTGTGCCGGTGGGTGTTCATATGGAGTGTTTGCCACGACCTACATATAAGCTGTATCCTGTGATTTCATATGACTTCATTTTATGAACATTGTTAATGGCTGTATTATCTTGGAGACAAATTTACCACAAGCTCCTTGGTGAGCTTGGTGAGCTCCTTGGTGGTTCAGGTTATTTCCTCTCTTTTGCTTGTATAGGCAACATTTTTGTAGGTAAAGAGTTTTTCATATTTAAGATTACTTTCTTGGTGTCCTTTCAAGAAGTGGAATTATTGAGTCACTGGACCATCATATTAGTGGCATCTGATGTGCATGTGGACCATTCATCTGAACCATGTTTTGTCAAAAATGTTTGCTCTTGTGTTTATAATAATAATAATAATAATAATAACAACATAGTTATTATAATTATTATTTAGGAGGTTTATGTCATTGACTTCTTACTTTGTGCTGGGCACTTTATATGTATCATCTCATTTACCCTTTAAAACATGAGGGGACACACACCTGAACTTCTGTGCCTTTCACATTTGTGTTTGGCAATTACAATAAGGACATCAGACACATATTTACACCAAGGTATTCACTTCCGTACACATCAGATGTGAGGGCTCATCCTTCTGCTCTGCGTGTGTGCATTCACATATACGCACATGTGCCACCACTCAGCCAGCTGTGGTGGGATTAAATGGCTACTGGGTGTTGGGCTTCTCCAGGCCATTTCCCAAAAATTGTGTTCCTGTTGGCTGCATCGATGCCTATATCTTGGCTTCCTGAGCCCCTGACTTGTGGCATATTGTGGAATAATTTGGGTCATGGGTTAGCTTCCCATCACCCGCTAGAGCCAGCACTCCTGAGGGCTAAGTTCACTGGGTGAGCTGCAGTGCTTATGCTAGGCACACGGGGCAGCCTGCAGAGGAGTTTCTGTGTCTACAGAGGGTACGCACATGGCACACGTCGTCTCTGTCTGGGCAGCTCCCGGGCTGATTGGCCAGCTGCCATTCCAGGAAGCCCTCAGAGAGCCTATCAGCCAGCTCTGGGCTTGCTGCAATTCACAGGAGGCACCTGTTTCTGTAAGGAGATGGTATGTGCCTGTGTGTGTATTTTTGTTATCATATTTGCCCACTTGTGGGCAGCATATTGCAGAGAAACTGCATCCCCTCCTCCAAGCTACCAGGACAGCTCTGGTGACCAGCCCTTCTCCAGCCTGACTGCATGAGCACTGGGGGAAGTTTTCATTTTGTTTCAGCCTCTTTATTCTTATTCTGTGGAGGTTGGACCTCTATGATGTGTGTAAGGAAGCCCAGACAGGGAGATAGTTTGTCCCTTCAGGTGGTCAGTGAGAAATGCAGTTCTAAAGTGTCACCTTGAGCATTTCCTTTCTTCTAGCATGGTCTCATCTTACCTGGTGCATCATGGGTATTGTGCCACGGCCACAGCTTTTGCCCGAATGACTGAAACCCCGATTCAGGAAGAACAAGCATCCATAAAGAACAGACAAAGTAAGGTTGATTCTCCTTTATTCTCTCCCTCCCTCCCTCCCTCCCTCCCTCCCTCCCTCCCTCCCTCCCTCACCTATCCCTAACTCTGCTCTCTGGCTCATGCCAGCCTTGTGTAACCTGTCAGGAGTCCATTCAGCTCTGGTCCTTACCACCAGGAGACTAGCCCACAGCCCCAGCCCAGCAGCATGGGAATGAATTTCTCAGTGAAGCCTCTTCACTACACACTCTGATGGCCCAGCACAGGCTGGGGCCTGGTATGGCTGGATCCCACTCCTCCATGCTTGTTTCCTTCCCCCAAATCCTGGCCTCTACTCAGCCTCCTGTTCATGGTCTTTTGGAAGAGTGTGTTTGCATCTTACCAGACCAATGTCCTGCCTTTCCCATTTACTCAGCTTTAGTAGTTCTGCTTGTTCCTGGCCAGAAAAAGGACTGAAGTAGTCAGACAGGGTGAAGGCTGGTTCTCAGTGGCTGCTGCGGTGGCACCTCTCTCTGCTCCCACCTCTGGTCCTGCCTTTTGCAGACAACCGAAGGAAGGAGTCAAAGGAAACTTTGCCAGTGTACATACTGGCCTGCATACTGTGTGTTTGGGGCTCTTTTGTGGAAGGAGGGTGTTGGGAAAGAGGAAACAGAGCCCAGTAAGGAGATAGGAAGAGGAGAGGAGAGTGAGGGAGAATGGGTGTGTGTGGATGTGTGTCTGTGTGTGCCTGCTTGCGTCTCTCTGAGCCTGTCGTCTCTGTGTATGTGCATGTGTCTGTGTCTCCCAGAGAAGCTACGCCCAGCCAGACAGACGGAAAGGGATCCCAGACTTGGGATCTACGAATGAGAGCCTCAGACCCAGAAGTCGCTCCCAGCAAGATGCACCAGGCCCCAGAGCAAGAGCAAGATGCTGATGGCCTGAAAGGTGTCAACTTCAGAGATGCCAGTGTGAGGAGGATGACCTCCTTTCCCAGCAGGGAGCATTCTGCAGCCCCTGAAGACTGCCAGGACTTGGGTCCTGGCCCAGAAACCATTGTGCTCCCTTTGCCACCCCCCTGTGAAGCCTGACAGGAGAGAAGTCTATCTGAAGAGGAGCCCCTAGGGCCACCAAGCTGCCTGGGTGCCCAACCCCAGATCATGTTCCCACAGCCAGAGCCCCTCCCCATGCCCAGGTCCCTGGCGAACTGACCTCCACAGGAGCAAGCCTCCAAATTTGCTCTCCTGCCTCTGCACTGAGTCCCACTTGTTTTCCCCTGTTATTCTTTGAAGACTCCCGACACTTGACAGAAACCAGGGTCTATTTTGGGGCTGGGAGGCCAGTTTCTTTCTTCAGCCTCTTCTGTGAGCATCTCAACCATCATGCTACTCTGAGCTGGCCCACCTGACCATTGGCTAGTCCATGCTCGGGGCTGGTAGTATTGTAGGCATGTGACTATGAAGGAGCTCTACAGCCCCTCACTCACTGCCGTACTTTTGCTCTCTGCAGAGATCCAGAAGCTGGTGCTGGAGGGCCGTGTGGGTGAGGCCATTGAGACCACACAACGCTTCTATCCAGGACTGCTGGAGCATAACCCTAACCTGCTCTTCATGCTCAAGTAAGTTTTGGGCACCACCAGCTGCCCCATAGCCCAGCCCCTCCCAGCTGGTGGTCGGAACATATAGCCCAGACCAAGCCCAGAGCATTGCCGCTCTGCTCCCTCTGCAGGTGCCGACAATTTGTGGAGATGGTGAATGGGACTGACAGTGAGGTCCGCAGCTTGAGCTCCCGAAGCCCCAAGTCCCAGGACAGCTACCCTGGCTCCCCCAGCCTCAGCCCCCGACACGGCCCTAGTAGTTCCCACATGCACAACACAGGTCAGCCACTCTCCAGAGGGCTCGGGGAAGAACTGGTGTGGAGAAGAAAGGCCACCCATATGCCCTTCCCTGGGCTGGGCTCAGGGCTCGCTGCTGGATTTGGGGGAAGGGAAATGGGACCACTGTGGTTATTCCTGAGACCCCATTTGATGGCAAACTGCCCCTCTTCTTCTGACTACCCCCTGGTTTCTAGGAGCAGACAGTCCCAGCTGCAGCAATGGCGTCGCATCCACGAAGAGCAAACAGAACCACAGTAAATACCCTGCACCCAGCTCCTCCTCCTCCTCCTCATCCTCCTCGTCCTCCTCATCCCCATCCTCCGTCAATTACTCCGAGTCCAACTCAACAGATTCCACCAAGTCCCAGCCCCACAGCAGCACCAGTAACCAGGAGACCAGGTGCCTGTCCTGCTCTGCTTCTTCCTCCTGCTTTCTGCTCTGCACCAGCTGGGCTCACTGCAGCCTGTCCTTTAAGTGCCACCCCCTGTCTTTCACCCCCACCTCCATCCCAAGTCTGTGCCTGGAGTAGTGGCTGCTGACCTGCGAGACCAGGCATTGGCTCCAGCTTCTGGCCCTACCCATGATCCAGCTGCCACTTTCCTTGGCCCTGACTTTTTCCAGAGGCACTGGTACTGCCAGGCTGAGAATGTGGTCTCCTGGGAGCAGACCTGGCAGAACCCCTAGGGTCTACACTAAAGAAGCTTTTGCTGGGTGGGGCTTGAGGTCAGATAGGTTGGGCAGCAGAGGTATTAGGCTATAGACTACAGGTGACTTTCAGCAGCCCCCAGGCATGCCTCAGGTTTGACCTGGGTTTGACACCTAGAGATTCTTATCAGGGGTCTCTGGTCACTGGGGGGTAGGGGAGGAATGTGTAGAAGGGGTGCACCAACTCAGAGGAAGTCCAGGAAGGGGAGAGCCGCAGAGGCAGCTTTGAGACAAGAGTGAGAATCAGATGACAGGCCTCTGGGGATAGCTGGTGTCACACTAGGGTCCGAGTGTTGGAGCCTGGGAAGCCTTTCATGCTCCTAGGGTCCTTTGGTTTACCCACAGCAATCTGTGGCTAAAGCCTGAATGGAAGCCCAACCAGGTTGCTCCAGCCACATCCCTCTGGCAAACTCCCACCTCAACCCTTCTCCACAGTGACAGTGAGATGGAGATGGAAGCAGAGCATTACCCCAATGGTGTGCTGGAGAGTGTGTCCACACACATTGTCAATGGCGCCTACAAGCATGAGGACCTGCAGACAGATGAGTCCAGCATGGGTAAGAATGATGGCTCAGCATGGTGATCCCTGAGTGGTAATGGCTCTATCCAGATGTCTTCTGTCCCCCAGGAAGGGATTGGGAAGGGCAGGCTTTGACAGCCTGAGAAACTCTAACCAGACCTGGTCCACTGCCCCCTTAGCCGATCATGAATGGGTGGTTGAAATGGGAAGGCCCCTGGCCTGCTGCCAAGATCAGGGCCCCTGTGTCTGAGGCTAGAGGCAGTTGGTGAGGGTGGGCACTCTTATGAACACCCGTGCATCTGTACGGGGTGGGAGAAGGGAAAGGTTCTAAGTCCAGACCCCTAGACGATGTGCTTGGTGGACTAAAAGCACCTTAGCTACAGATGATCCACCTGTTCCTCCCAGCCCTAACTTGCCTCTGGCAGTCTCCCCAAGGTCCTTCTCGCCATGTTCCTTTTGGGGTCCCCACCCCAGTTCTCCCCTTCTCTCCTTACTCTTCCTGATTTGTTCTCTGCTGGGCTCTGGGTGCAGATGATGGGCATCCTCGGCGGCAGCTCTGTGGGGGCAACCAGGCTGCCACAGAAAGGATTATCCTGTTTGGTCGCGAGTTGCAAGCACTGAGTGAGCAGCTGGGCCGGGAGTATGGCAAGAATTTGGCCCACACGGAGATGCTGCAGGTATAGAACAACCTGACCTTCATACAGAGCAGGCCTCCATTGTGAGGGAGGGAGCAGGGTGACTCTGGGAGGGCTGTGGGGGCAGCAGCAGCAGGATAGAGTGGGTTCTAGTGAAGTCCACAATGGGAAGCAGGACTTTGGGGGTATATGCTACTCTCTCTAGGCTCTGGGGAAGGCACAGTCCTTTCTGACCCTATGCTCACAGGGCACCATGCAGGGCTCTGTATGCCCCTGGAGTCATGGAGGTGTGTATGTGTGTGGCGTGTGCCACAGTCCTCTCAAGAATGTCCTGTCCCTTAGGATGCATTTAGCCTGCTGGCATACTCAGATCCCTGGAGCTGCCCAGTTGGCCAGCAGCTTGACCCCATCCAGAGGGAGCCTGTGTGTGCTGCCCTCAACAGCGCCATTTTAGGTAAGCAGATCCAACAAAAACAGAAGCTGGTCCATGAATGCCTAGAGTGGCTCCTCCCTCTCTCCCTGGGGATTGCTGGTATTTGTCCAAATTAGGGCAGTGTGCTCTGCCCAGGCACTCTCTGGTAGCCCACAGGACTTGGGCTTCCATGGCTGAACCTAAATCTTGACCTCTCTCTGCCCAGCTGAATTGGCTGGCTAGATCATGATAGACTCTGGCCTGTGTCTATAGGCCTGGGCCAACACATTGCTCTAAAGAAAGTTAAGGTCCTCAGGTTCCTAGCATGGCTGCATGGCCATGGGCTGGTGGCTGGGACACACTCACACAGAGATATGTGAACACCATGTTCTAAGAGATTCTGTCCACTACCCCTACTTTGTGCTTCCAAGGGAACTTTGACCTGAGCTGACCTGAGCCCAGTTCCTGGGCAGAGCATTTACCAGGCCTGTCTCTCCTTCACAGAGTCTCAGAACCTGCCAAAGCAGCCCCCTCTGATGCTCGCCCTGGGTCAGGCATCTGAATGTCTACGGCTCATGGCCAGAGCGGGCCTGGGATCTTGCTCCTTTGCCAGAGTCGACGACTACTTGCACTAGCTGACCACGCTGGCTGGCCCCACCTGGCCCTTCCTCAGCCCCAGGGCTGGAGCAGCCCTGCCCTCCATAGGCATCTGGCGCAGGGACCTGGAAGCCATGGGCAGAGTCCATTCCTCCTGCCTGGCCTCCCCAACTCCGTTTTCTTTCCTTTTCTTTCCTTTTCTTTCCTTTTCTTTTCTTTTCTTTTCTTTTCTTTTCTTTTCTTTTCTTTTCT